GTGGAACGATGTTGTGGGCACCTTGGGAGCCTTGTGGGGCACAAAAGTTGTGGGAACCTTACCTTGCAAAAAAGTTGTGGGAACCTTGTAGGAACCTTGAAGCAAAATGGGCAAAGTTGTGGGAAGCTTCTGGGAACCTTGCAGCAAAGTCAAGGGAACCTTGGGAACCTTGGGGGAACCTTGTGGGAACCTTGTGGGGCAAAGTTGTGGGAACGTTGTGGACCAAAGTTGTGGGAACCTTGTGGGAGCCTTGGAGCAAAGCTGTGGGAACCTTGCGAACGTTGGGGGAACCTTGTGGGGCAAAGTTGTGGGGACCTTGTGGAACAAAGTTGTGGAAACCTTGTGGAACAAAATTGTGGGAACCTCGTAGGAACGTTGGAGCAAAGCTGTGGGAACCTTGGGGGAACCTTGTGGAACAAAGTTGTGGGAACCTTGGGAACTTTGGGAACCTTGCAGGAAGCTTGGGAACGTTGAGGGAACCTGGCGGGAACCTTGTGGGGCAAAGTTGTGGGAACCTTGTGGAACAAAACTGTGGGGACCTTGTGGGAACGTTGGAGCAAAGCTGTGGGAACCTTGGGGGAACCTTGTGGAACAAAGTTGTGGGAACCTTGGGAACCTTGCAGGAACCTTGCAGCAACCTTGCAGGAACCTTGCAGCAACCTTGCGGGAACCTGGCGGGAACCTTGGAACCTTGTGGGAACCTTGTGGGATCCTGGGGGAATGTCTTTGGGAGCTGCTCCGGCTTGCTCCGAAACCTTTACCATGGCTGAAGACCCCAAAGCATGCTGCTGTTGGGCGAGGATAATCCGGAATTTGCAAAAGTCACGTCAATGCAGCGCACTCCAGCACAATCCGGCAGAATACACCGCACCACTTAAAATGAACACCCCACAGTGCAAGATCGTGACTGTGGCGTTGTGTACTCATTGGAAGGTATCCTCTTTGAACGCTGTGCAAACGGATAACGCTGTGCAAACGGTGTACTTATTTATTGGAAGGTATATCTTTATACTTGTCGTGACGGTTGCAAACGCTGTGGCATGGAAGGTATCCTCATTGAATAACCTGTCATCAGCTTTGTCACAGCAGGTGATTGGACACACGCTGATCCACATAGAGGTGCTCGAAACGACCTGTCTACAATGCGTTTAGAAGTTGAAGCCCGTTCCAAGAATGCCTGTATCAGTCGAGTTGCCTAAAAGCGCGCCTTTTCCCTTTCCGATACTATCCACGTCATTTTATCCTTGTCCTGGCCAGTGCGTCTGACGACGTGCTTCGCAAACGTGCCTCACAACGTGGTGGTCTCCCTTTCCGTTGTCCTTGTCCGCGTCCTTGTGCTATCAAAAGCAAGCCTACAAACACGCAGCCTACAAACGCGCGTTGGGAACGCACGTCTCCCTTATCCCTATTATCCTTGCCCTCCTCCTCTGGAAAAGTGCGCCTGAGGACGCGCCCAGGCCCCTACATAGTTCTTGCCCCCTTTTCAAGTGTCCTTGTCCGCGGAGTTACGCTGCTGGTCCTGGCGGGCGCGGCCAAGCAAGCGCCTGCGTTATGATGCGCCTGGTCGGGCGCTGGCGACGCGCCTCGCTCGCTTTCCCTTATACTTGTTCCGCTCGTCCTGGTCCTGGCAAGTGCGCCTGGGAAACGCACTGGAGGCGCGGCGCCGGAGAACCCACCTTATAGCCTCAAGACAACGTTTTGTAATGTTTTGTCCTTTATCGTCTGCGTGCTCCCTGCGGTCAGCGGCCAAGTCCTGATCCCGATCGTCCGCGCTTGCAGGGCGCGCCTGATGCGCGCCTGTCAAAATGCGCCTGAGGACGCGCCTGACGCGCCTGCGGCGCGCCTGTAGAAGACCGCTGGAAAACGCGACTGCTACACGCCTTAGTAACAACGCCGGAGGACGTGCTTCCCATGCACGGCTATAAGATCCCATGAGAACGCCGGACAGCGCGCTTCCTACGTGCCTACGGAGACGCGCCCGCGACGCGCCTTCTACAGCGTCGGCGGACGCGCCTGCAACGCGCCTTTACAAACGCGCCCGTGGACGCGCCTCCAAAAACATGCCCGTGGGCGCGCCTGCCACGCGCCAAAAACGCGCCTGTGGACGTGCCTGCGACGGGCCTCCAAAAACGCGCCTGTGGACGCGCCTGCAACGCGCCTCCAAAAACGCGACTGTGGACGCGCCTGCGACGCGCCTGCAATCTACAGGGGCACACCTTTGGCGCGGCTTTTCAGTCGGGCACGCTGGCATACAGTCATGCGGGGTTTTTGCTTGCCGGGCGGCGCGCCTGGATCAGCCTGCGCGCGGTTACTTCATGGCAGGGCGCCTGAGCACACGCCCAGCCCGCCTCTTCTGTACGCCTGTCCTGTCCTGCGTCCGGTCCTTGCACGCGTCCGTCCATCACGTCTTTGCGGCGGCTGCGCCTCGCACGCGCCTGCAGACGCGCCTGAGATGGCCACCGTGGTCGCGCCTGGGGACGTGCGTGGAGGATGAGAAGACTAGCCTTGCCTGCTCCGCGCCGTTGTCCTCTTCCTTATCGCGTCGACTGTCCGTGGCGACGCGCCTGAGGACGCGCCTGTAGAACGCGGCCGAAGAGGTGCGTGGGGGCACGTACTGCTGGCGGGTCCTATAGATGCTGCGTGCCACGCAGACTGACCGAAAGCGCTTGCCAAGTAAGGGGGGTCGTGTGGAGCATATAGTTCCGGTTACATGGAACGATCCGGAAAGAACCTTGTGGGAACCTTGGAGCAAAGCTGTGGGAACCTTGCGAAACTTGGAGAACCTTGTGGGGCAAAGTTGTAGGAACCTTGTGGAACAAAGTTGTGGGAACCTTGTGGAACAAAATTGTGGGAACCTCGTAGGAACGTTGGAGCAAAGCTGTGGGAACCTTGGGGGAACCTTGTGGAACAAAGTTGTGGGAACGGAACCTTGCAGGAACCTTGCAGGAACCTTGGGAACCTTGTGGGAACCTGGCGGGAACCTTGTGGGGCAGAGTTGTGGGAACCTTGTGGAACAAAGTTGCGGGAACCTTGTGGAACAAAACTGTGGGAACCTTGTGGGAACGTTGGAGCAAAGCTGTGGGAACCTTGGGGGAACCTTGTGGAACCAAGTTGTGGGAACCTTGGGAACCTTGCGCAAACCTTGCAGGAACCTTGGGAGCCTTGTGGGAACCTGGCGGGAACCTTGGACCCTTGTGGGAACCTTGGGAAAACCTTGTGGGGCAAAGTTGTGGAACGATGTTGTGGGCACCTTGGGAGCCTTGCGGGGCAAAGTTGTGGGAACCTT